TGCTGAAAGAAAAACAACTGCCAGCCAAGAACTGCTTTACCCATGAAAGTTTCCTTCAGAACTTGAGGGGAGATAGATTTTCCCAGGCAAACAAAAGCTGAAGGAGTTCATTACCACTAGAGCAGCCTTACAACAAATGTTAAAAGAATTTCCTCAAGTTGAAAGATATTCAGTACAAATGGAAACCAAAAGAGAGTAGGAGTAGTTTTACTTATATCAGGCCAAATAGACTTTAAGTCAAAACTATAGCAAGAAAGAAAGGTCATTATATAATGATAAAAAGGTCAATTTATTCAAAGAATATAACACTTAAAAATGTATATGTACCAAACAGTGGAGTGCCTAAATATATAAAGCAGATATTGACAGATCTGAAATGAGAGATAGAAAACAATAAAAATAATAGTAAGGGACTTCAATATTCCACTTTCAACAATGAATAGATCACCCAGGCAGACAATCAGGAAAGAAACATTGGATTGTAGCTACCTATTAGACCAAATGGACCTAACAGATACATACACACATTCCATGATACAGTAACTGAGTACACATTTTTCTTAAGGGCACATGGAACATTCTCCAGGATAGGTTATATATTAGACCACAAAACAAGTCTTAACAAATTTTAAAAGATTGGAATCATACCCAGCATCTTCTCTGACCACAGTGACATACAACTAGAAATCAGTAACAAAGACAAAAACTGGAAAATACACAAGTATTTGGAGATTAAATAATATGTTCCTGAACAACAGTGAGTCAAAAAATTAATTAAAATTTTTTTCAGACAAATGAAAAAGGAAACACTATATGCCAAAATGTATACAATGCAGCAAAAGCAATTCAAAGATAAAAGTTTATGATGATAAATGCTTAACTTAAGAGAAAAAGATCTCAATCTAATCTCACACCTCAAAAAATTAAAAAAGAAGAAATAGGCACAAAATTAGTAAAAAGAAGAAAACTACTTGAGCATAAATATATAAAATAGAGACTTAAAAATAATAGAAAAGATAAAAGAGACTAAGGGATTTTTAAAAAAAATTTTTATTGTTATGTTAATCCCCATACATTACATCATTAGTTTTAGATGTAGTGTTCCATGATTCATTGTTTGTGCATAACACCCAGTGCTCCATGCAGAACGTGCCCTCCTCAATACCCATCACCAGGCTAACCCATCCTCCCACCCCCCTCCCCTCTAGAACCCTCAGTTTGTTTTTCAGAGTGAGACTAAGGGATTTTTTAAGGATAAACAAAATTGATTAACTTTTAGGTAGACCAACTAAGAAAAAAAGAGAAAAGACTCAAATGAATAAGACCAGACATGAAAGAAGAGAGATTACAAATGATGACACAAAAATGAGAAGAATCACAAGAGACCACTATGAACAATTATTAACCAACAAATAGGATAACCTAGAAGAGATTGATAAATTCTTAGAAACATGGGGCGCCTGGGTGGCTCAGTCATTAAGTGTCTGCCATCAGCTCAGGTCATAGTCTCAGGGACCTGGGATCGAGCCCCACATCGGGCTCCCTGCTCAGCGGGGAGCCTGCTTCTCCCTCTCCCACTCCCCGTGCTTGTGTTCCGTCTCTCGCTGTGTCTCTCTCTGTCAAATAAATAAAATCTTAAAAAAAAATTCTTAGAAACATGGAACCTATAAAAACTAAATTATAAAGAAGTATAAAATTTGATCAAACCAATTACTAGTAAGGAAGCTGAATAATCAAAAACTCCCAACAAAGAAAAGCTCAGGACCAGAGGACTTCATTGGTGAATTCTACCAAACATTTAAAGAAGAATTAATGCAAACCTTTCTCAAACCCTTCGAAAAAATTAAAGAGGAGGGTACACTTCCAAACTCATTTTATATGGCCGACATCACCCTGATACCAAAGTTAGACAAGGACACACAAGAAAACTAAAGATCAGTGTCCCTGATGAACATAGATGCAAAAATACTCAACAAAAAACTAGCAAGCCACATTCAACAACACTTTAGAAGAATCATACACCATGAGCAAGTGGATTTTATCCCTGTATATTAGCCCACAGCTAACATCATACTCAATGGTGAAAAGCTGAAAACTTTTCCTCTAAGATTAGGAAAAAGAGATGTCTACTCTTGCCACTTATCTTCAACATAGCACTGCAGGTTGGGAAAAGAGATAAAAGCCATCCAAGTTAAGAAAGAAGTGAAATTGTGTCTACTGGTGACATTATCTTATGTATAGAAAACCCTAAAGATTCTACCCCCCCCAAAAAAACCCTACTAAAACTAAGAAACAAATCAGTAGAGTTGCAGAATACAAAGTCAGGACACAAAAATGAGTTGATTTCTAGACTCTAACGATGAATTATCAGAAAGAGAAATTAAGAAAGTCCCATTTATAGTAACAACAAAAAGAATAAAATGCTTAGGAATAGTTTTAAACAGGGAGGTCAAAGATCTGTACACTGAAAACTATAAAACATTAATGAAAGAAATTTAAGAAGACACAAATGGAAAAGGATTCTGTGTTCATGGACTGAAAAAATTAATATCGTGCAGATGTCCATTCTACGAAAAGCAATCCTTATCAAGGCAATCCTTATCAAAATTCCAATAGAAATAGAAAAAACAATCCTAAAATTTGTATGGAACCACGAAAGACCCCAAATAGCCAAAAAGATTCTGGGAAAGAAGAAGAAAGCAGGAGACATTATACTTCCTGACTTCTGTGTTAGAAAACTATAATAATCAAAACAGTGTAATATTGGCATAAAAGCAGACACATAGATTACTGGAAGAGAATAGAGAGCCCAGAAATAAACCCATGCATATATGGTCAGGTAATTTTCAACAAAGGTTCCAGAAATACATAATAAAGAAATGACAGTCTCTTCAATATATGGTGTTGGGGAACCTGGATATCCACATGCAAAAGAGTGAAATTAGACCACTACCTTACACTATACACAAAATCAACTCAAAATGAATTAAAGACATACACATAAGACCAGAAACCATAAAACTCCCAGAAGAAGACTTAGGGGAAAAACTCCTTGACATTGGTGTTGGTAACAATTTTTTGGATTTGACACCAAAAGCAAACACAGTAAAAACAAAAATTAATGAGTGGGACTACATCAAGCTAAAAAGTTTCTGCACAGCAAAGGAAACCATCAACAAAATAAAAAGGCATAGTATGAAATGGGAGAAAATATTTGAAAACTATATATCTAATGAGAGATTAATATCCAAAATATATAAGGAACTCATATAGCTCAAGAGCAAAATAAAACAAAACCCCATATAATCCAACCAAAAAATGAGCAGAGGACCTGAAAAGACATTTTTTCTGAAGAAGACACACAAATGGCTAATAGGTACATGAAAAGATGCTCATCACTAATCATCAGGATAGGTAAATCAAAACCACAGTGAGATATTACCTTCACCTGTCAGGGTTTGTGTTACCAAAAAGACAAGAGATAACGAGGCTAGCAAGGATGTGGAGAAAAGGGAACCTTTGTGCACTGTTGGTAGGAATGTAAATCATTACAGCCACTATAGAAAACAGTGTGGAGGTTCTTCAAGAAATTAAAAATAGAACTTCATTATGACTCAGCAATCCTACTTCTGGGTATATAGATCCAAAGGAAATGAAATCACTACCTAGGAAAGATTTCTGCATTCCCACATTCACCACATTGTTCACAACAGCCAACTCATGGAAACAAGCTAAGTGTCCATTGACAGATGAATGGATAAAAATGATGTGATGCAAACACACACACACACACACACACACAATGGAATATTATTCATCCATAAAATAACAAGGAAATCCTGCCATTTGTGACAACATGGATGAATCTGGAGGGCATTATATTAGTGAAATGAGCCAGACAGATAAAGACAAATACTATGGTATCACTTATATGTGGAACCTCAAAAAAAAAAAAAAGTCGAACTCATAGAAATATGAGTGGTTTCTATGAGTTCGAAAAATGGTGGTTGCCAGGGGCTGGGATGTGGATGGCATAGGGAGAGGCTGGTAAAAGTGTTCAAACTTTCAGTCTTAAGATGAGTTAAGTGCTTAGGACCTAATATATAGCATGGTGATTATTGTTGATAATTCTGTGTCACTAAAATTTGCTAAGAGATTAGATCTTTTAAAAAATTTTTTATTGTTATGTTAATCACTTATACATTACATCATTAGTTTTTGATGTAATGTTCCATGACTCATTGTTTGTGTATAGCACCCAGTGCTCCATGCAGAACGTGCCCTCTTTAATACCCATCACCAGGCTAACACATCCTCCCACTCCCCTCCCCTCTAGAACCCTCAGTTTGTTTTTTAGAGTCCATCATCGCTAAGAGATTAGATCTTAAGTGTTCTCTCTCACACACACAAAAGTAAGTATATGAAATAATGAAAGTATTAACTTGGTTGCGGGAGGCCTTTCACAATGTATATGTGTATATATGTATATATTACCACGTTTTGTACTTTAAATATATTACAATTTCATTTGTCGATTATACCTCAGTGAAGCTAGTTGAGGGGGAGGAGAGGGAGGGTAAAGAAAAGAGAGAGGATAATTACACCATACCCTTAAGATAATGCCACATCTTGGCAAAAGTGTCGGGATATGCTCATTAGCAATACTCCGCTTGTAAGATAGGAGTTCCAGGAGAAGCATTAGGGCAGAATGCAGCTGAATAGTGTCACTGAGATCCAGAAGTATAGGAAACTGAGCAAGACCAGGGTCCACTACAGGAAGGTCTGGCCATGCCAGGTCTGCTGGACCCAAAGGGAAGTCCGTGAGTGGTTTAAGAGCAGCAAGGACTGTGTGATTCTGTTGACCATTTGTACTGCTTCCCAGAGCCCAGACAACACGTACCACCTTACTGCTAATTACAATTTATTCTTTCTCTCTGCCCACCCATCCACTCTTCCTGCCACATCAGCCCACCCAACACTGCTTTGTGTTCAGGGCTGCTTCACAGGGGCACACAGTGCCACTGGTTCCAGTCACAGGGCAAGGTGATATGATTCAGACTGTGACTCATTTTCTGTATGATTTTGTTGGTTACAAATGTATGGTAATAGGTAGGGTAGTCAAGTTTGTCCAGAGCATGGATGTGAACATCCATGAGATAGGAGATGAGACCCTTGTTCCGGTACTCAGGCAGAGTACCCCCCATCCGTATCTCGTCTGTCTGGTCCATCAGGCTCCAAGACACAGGGGTCCCCTGGGGCCCCAGCAGGCAGAAGGTGGGGAAGTTCTGGATACAGCGCTCGATGAATCTCTGGCTCCTGTCATTGCCACCGAAATGCCAGAATTTATTCACCAAGGCAGCATGAGTAACATCCATGGAGGAGAGTTTAAACATCTCTTGGTTGCTGTTGAGAACAAGGGAAAAGAACACCCCGTAATATCACACATACTGCGGAGTATTATATTTGTTTTCCCCAAAACTGTCTTCAGACAATGCAAATTGGAGTACAGTAAAGGCATAGATTCTGTAGCCAGATTGCCTGAATTCATAATCTTTTTATAAAATGGAGGTATTAACACAGTTGTGATATTAGTAGCACCCCTGTTAAATAGTATAAGAGCTATCACGTGATAAGTACCTAGGACTTGTGCCACACGAAAAATAAGAATTACACAAAAATAAAGCATTATTTTTGTCAACATTGCTGTTACTCTCCACTTAAGATGGGAGAATTGATAACATTCCTGTTCTACACATAAGAATAGGTAAGCAGAAAATAAGTAAGTGCCTCAAAGCATATGCTAGCAAGCTATAAAGCCAGAACTTGGTATCTTGTAATCCTGGAATCTTTGGATTCTCCTTGGCCACTGTGGGAGAGCTGAAGTCCAGGGAGAGGCAGGGATGTGGAGTGCAGGCAGCCCCCACCTTACAGAACATTGAAGTCTGAAGGCTGCTGCAGAGGTGGAGAAGTGTTGGGGAGGTGACCTGGAAAGAGCCCGCAATGTGGAAGCAGGAAATGTAGACATGAGCCCCAGTTATGCCCTTAACCATCCACGTGACCCGAACAAACTGTTTCATCAACTGGACCTGTTTTCCATCAGGAAGATGGGGATAATGTCTCCTACCTTCTCTATCTCATGGGATGGATAAGACAATCAAATGAGATTATAGATTTGGATGTGTCTTTCAGATGTAAGGTGCAATACAGTGTGAATAAGGCTTTTCCAGGCATATTAACACACAAGAGGGCCATAGGATTGGACATCTCCAGATCAAATCCCTGTATCAGTTTTAATTCTATTCAGGCATAAGTGGAGGGAAATATATAATATGTTTAAATTCTTTTTATTGGAAAACTTTTGCTCTGAGAAGTAAATTCATTGCATATTTATGAGGCATCTACTTTGTTTTCTGTTCTGGCTACTGAAAACTTATTGGTGAACAATATAAGGAGTGTCCCCTGATCTTGTGGAGTTTGAATTGTTGCAAGGGAAGAATCAAACAACAAATGGGTCAATAAATACACAAAAAAGCTGATTTCAGATAGTGATAAGTGCACTGAGGAAAATAAAAATTGGGTTTTGTGATGAAGAATTATGGGAAGGGGTGGTTTTAGGTTGCTCTGAGGAGAACTCTCTAAGGAAATGATATTTGAGAGAATGAATGGCAAGAAAGAAGCAACTATGCAAAGATCAGAGGGAAGGACATTTTAGGGAAGAACAGATGCAATGATCCAAAGGTATGTGTGAGTGTATGAAATCAAGTCACAGAAAAAAGGCCAAAGCTGCTGGTAGGAGGAAGCAAGAGGGACAAGATGAAGTCCAAGAGATGGTGGATTGCAGGTCTCATAGGACCCTAAATGTCTGTAATGGGCATGTGAGCTGAAAAAAAAAAACCAAAACACTGATGACTTTTAAGTGGATGAATTGATATAATCCAAGTACAAAAGGATCATCCTGGAAATTGATTGTAGGGAGGCAAGAGTGAACATAAGGAAAGAAGTTGGGAGGCCACTTCCATACAGAAAGATGAGAGTAATGCAGAGCATCTTTTTTCAAACTCACATGACTTTGCGTCTGCCAGATTTAAGAGGTAAGTTCTTTGCCTCCAGCAAGGAAGGGAGCAGTTTACTTGCTGTCTCGGGCAACATATACATAATGCCTTGTTTTTGCTTGATGTTGACCAATTTAGCAGCTGCAAGATTTTGTATCACTTCGTTCAGGCTGGACTGCGAACCTAGACAGGGGTAAGGTAACGTGAGAAATAATTGCCCATGTAGATTCTACAGAAGCTTGCTGGTGGAAATATACAGAATTTAAAGTCAGGCAGTATTGCTTCTGGTGTTGCCTTTAACCATGTGACCATGCCCAAGTCACTCTCGTATGCAAGCAGATAATACTAGACATCCTGACTACATCACTGTGAAATCAGTGGAGAAATGGTATCTTAAAAATAGTAGCCAACCTTGAGTGTGCACATAATTCATGCCCACGTATTGGTCTAATACCACATTTAATTCTTCCATTGACCCTATGTTTTAGGTATTTTACTACCCTCATTTTTTTTTTACATATGAGGAAACTGAATAATAGATAAGTTACATCACTTGCTCAAATCACAAAGCAAGTAACAGGAAGAGCAAGGATGCCACCCTAGAGAATCTGACTCTGGAGGGCATGCTCACACCCATGGTTGTTCTTGTGACCTGGAGGTTCTCCCTGGCACAAGGAACTGTCATTCTTATTCTAGGAATGGAAGGCCAGAGGGGGAGCTCTGCTTGCACACCTAATCACACTAAGGGACCCTGAATATGTCTGCAAAATATATCATGAATCCTCAGCTAACAAGAAATTCCATTACTCACAGTTCCTTGTGTCAAGGCTATAGTTTGCAATGTTTGAATTCTATTCCACTGAAGAGGGGGTAGCAGCTGATGCAAAGAATGAACATCAAGCTGAGTGGGGTTTCGTAGAGCTTCCTACCCCTACAAAGGCTGTAGGGGAATGTTCTCAGGATGAAAAGTGACCCTGCAGTTGTAGCCATGAACAGTCACAGAAGCCAGCACACATCCCAGATCCCTTACTTACTTTGGATTTGCAAATGTTGTTTCCAGTTGATGATACCTGATGCACCAAGGAATTCTTGACAGTTTTGGGGGTTCTTAGAATAAACTTGGTAGGTGTTGGTGTAGTGATCAAAATCATCTGTCATTTCCTGTTTGGTTAGGTAATGTGGAATAAATAAAATTGAATATACCCAGTGATTAGAATACTTGGCCTTTGTATTTCATTATACTGTGCTATTTTATAAACTTATAAATATTGATATTTTTCTTGATGTATTCTCATTATTCCTGAATCATTTACATCATGAGAGCAAGTCAGGGATTTAATCAATTATTCAATTTATGGTTAAGAAAAACTTGCTAAACTAGGTATTTATATGTTGTGTTACAATTTCAAATCAACCAAATGTGCACTGGTTTAGAAAGCATTCTTTTATAATTCTGTAATCCTCAGGAGAAAGAAATTACTGTCAAAGGCAAGCTTCCATTGCAAGAGTAAATCTTATTCTATTTAAAAGAGTCTCAAAAAAAAAAAAAGAGTCTCAGAACATATGGATTATAAACATAACAATATTGAAATTGGCACAGGTAACCTTGTATTGGAATTTTCACTTTTATGTGATACAGCTACACAAAATAAAGACACATGATGTCCTTATTTTTTCTTTTAAATTGTTTATTTAAGTGCAATCAATATACAACATTATATTAGTTCCAGGTGTACAATACAATGACTCAACACTTCTATACATTACTCAGTGCTCATCATGATAAATGCACTCTTAATCCTCTTCACCTACTTCACCCATTCCCCCCACCCCCACCCCCCGCCTCTGGCAACCACCAGTTTTTTTTTCTGTATTTAAGAATCTATTTTTTGTCCCTTTTTTCTTTGTTTGTTCATTTGTTTTGTTTCTTAAATTCCACATATGAGTGAAATCATGTGGTATTTGTCTTTCTCTGACTGACTTATTTAACATTATACCCTCTAAGTCCATTCACATTGTTGTAAATGACAAGGTTTCATTCTTTCTTATGGCTGAGTAGTATTTCATTATATATATATGTATATATAATATATCCATACATATATAAAAAACACTTTTTCTTTATCCATTCATATATTGGTGGAGAATTGGATTACTTCAATATCTTGGTTATTGTAATAATCCTGCAATAAACATAGGGGCACATATATCTTTTCAAATTATTATTTTCACTTACTTTGGGTAAATACCCAATAGTAGAATTATTGGATCATATGGTAATTTAATTTTTAAGTTTTTGAGGAACCTCCTTATTGTTTCCGTAGAGACTGCACTAATATACATTCCCAACAGTGTACAAGGGTTCCTTTTGCTCCACAACCTCATCAACACTTACTTCTTGTGTTTTTCATTTGAGCCATTCTGATAGGTATAAAGTGATATCTAATTGTGGTTTTAATTTGCATTTCCCTGATGATTAGTGATATTGAGCATCTTTCATTGTGTCTGTTGGCCATCTGTATGTCTTCTTTGGATAAATGTCCGTTCAGGTCCTCTGCCTATTTTTTAATTGGGTTATTTGGTTTTTTGGTGTTGAGTTGTATAAGTTCTTCATATATTTTGGATATTAACCCCTTATTGGACACATGATGTCTTTAAAATGTAAACCACAGAAGACATGAACAGACACTTCTCAAAAGAAGACATACAAATGGCTAACAGACACATGAAAAAATGTTCATCATCATTAGCCATCAGGGAAATTCAAATCAAAACCACATTGAGATACCACCTTACACCAGTCAGAATGGCAAAAATTGACAAGGCAAGAAACAACAAATGTTGGAGAGGTTGTGGAGAAAGGGGAACCCTCTTACACTGTTGGTGGGAATGCAAGTTGGTACAGCCACTTTGGAAAACAGTGTGGAGGTTCCTCAAAAAATTAAAAATAGAGCTACCCTATGACCCAGAAATTGCACTCCTGGGTATTTTTACACCAAAGACACAGATGTAGTGAAAAGAAGGGCCACATGCACCCCAGTGTTCATAGCAGCAATGTCCACAATAGCCAAACTGTGGAAAGAGCTGAGATGACCTTCAACAGATGAATGGATAAAGAAGATGTGGTCCATATGTACAATGGAATATTACTCAGCCATCAGACAGGATGAATACCCAACTTTTACATCAACATGGATGGGACTGGAGGAGATTATGCTAAGTGAAATAAGTCAAGCAGAGAAAGTCAATTATCATATGGTTTCACTTATTTGTGGAACATAAGGAATAGCATGGAGGACATTAGGAGAAGGAAGGGAAAAATGAAGGGGGGGAATCAGAGGGGGAGATGAACCATAAGAGACTATGGGCTCTGAGAAACAAACTGAGGGTTTTAGAGGGGAGGAGGGTTGGGGGATGGGTTAGCCCAGTGATGGGTATTAAGGAGGGCACGTGCTGCATGGAGCACTGGGTGTTATATGAAAACAATGAATCGTGGATCACTACATCAAAAACTAATGATGTATGGTGACTAACATAATAAAATTAAATTAAATTAAAAAAATAAAGTGTAAACCAAAATGCACTATTATTTAAAAAAAATAATTTGCATTCCCCCAAAAATTGAAACACAAAATTTGTTCAAAAATATCTTCTCAAATTTAACAGATGAGAGTTGAGTTTATTTGAAGATGAAGGAAGGAGTCAGGAAACAACTACCCAACAAGGGTAGAATAGCTAGAAAGTGCTTCACAGAAATGCACTCATAGCTTCATCTTTTATATCAATAATTAATGTAAATGTCTTCATTTTTATAGTCTGTTTAGTTCAGTGTTTTTGAAAAGCACTATATATATTTAAATTTTATTTGAAAATTTTATATTAAAATGATATTATATGATTACATATTTTGCATGCATAAATTTTTACTTTATATTTTCCAATATGCTTATAACATATTTGTATTTGAAATGTATTAAATACTTAGTTTGAGTGATCTTTAAAAGTTGGCACTGAAAATATATTCCTAAATAAAGGCATTGCAATTTGTTCTTTATATTTTCTTAACATTCTTCATATTTATCTCTACATATTTTTAGGTGTTATTTTTTCTGTTTAGAATGCAGCTTCTATTCTTGTTAGCCTGCCAAAAACCTATTTATCTTCAAAATCCAGTCTTGGGGAAATGTCTACCTGGAAGGCCCTCTGATCCTTTACTTGCATACCCTGACATCTGTGGTTTTAATCATCTCTTGGACAGTACTGCTTGTATCTTGTATGTTGTATGTTCTTATATGTTTTTGTACATTTTCACTCCATGTTGTAATTTATTCACTTATCTGTCTTTTCCTCCAGGCTGTGAGCTTCTTGAGGACAAGGACTTGCTTACCATCACACAATTCATTTCTATATCACCTAGGTCTACCACATTGCCAGGTGCTTGGTAGGCACATAGCAAATAAGAAAACAAAAATGTACTCATTCCACATCTGGCACCTTACCTCCTCCTGAGGGCAGATAACCACTGTTGTAAAATCAGGCCACTTGTCCACCAGGGCCTTCAGCTTGAATGGGTCTCCCTGGTTCATGTGGAAGACAGTCCCATAAACCTGTGCCATCCCAAGAAAATCGGGGGGTCAGCTTATTGGGAAAGGATGGTACAGTGCCTTGTTTGATCAGGGCAAGGATTATTTCTATGAAATCAAGGTGATAATTGATAGGGCATGTGGTTTAAATCACCTTCAGATTCCACTTTATTACTCCAAATAGAAAGAGGTTTGGGGGTCAAACCATGAGAACAGTATATGAATACAGTTAAACATTCAGATAAATAAATTAATTAAAAATCATCCACTATCACATTGTAGAACTTAGTGTTGTATCTTTCCATTTTATTTCATTTATTGACAAATACACATACAATTTTTAAGCAGTGAAATTAACTAATATATATTAGTTTAACACGTGTTCCCCCCCACACACACACACTATACTATGGGCATATTTCCGTGTCAAAAAACACAAATTTATATAATCATTTTTAAAGACTGCATAATATCCATCATATGAAAGAACTCCAGTTCAGTTTTTTTCTGCACCTATTAAGAGAAGATCATCTGGCTTTTTTTCTTTAATCTATTGATACAATGATATACACTGATTGATCTTTGATTGTTGAACCTGCCTTGCAGTCTCATGATAAATTCCCCTTGGTTATAATGTATTATCCTTTTGATATATTGATGGATTTGACTTGATAGTATTTTGCTGAGGATTTTTTGCATCTATGTTCATGAGGAATATTGTTCTCTAGTTCTCTCTCTTTTTCTTTAATAAAATCTACCTCTGGTTTTGATATTAGGGTAATTCTCAACTCATAAAATGAGTTGGGAAGTGTTTCCTCCTCTGATCTTTTCTGCAAGAGTATGCATAGAATTGATATTATTTCTTCCTTCCATGTGTGGTAGAAATTGCCATGAAAGCCATCTAAGCAATGGTATTTTCTTTGTTGGAAAGTTTTAAATTATGAAATCAATCTCTGCAGTAGATACAGGATGATAAAGGTTATATTTTTCTTCTTCAGTGACTGTTGGTAATTTTTACTTTCCACAGAACATAAATTGTGAAATCTATGGGCACAGTGTTGATAATGATATGTCTTTATTATCCTTATATTGTTTATGGGGTTGGTATTAATATCCCCTATTTCATTCCTGATTTGATTTGTGTCTTCCCTATGCATCTCGGAGTCAGAAGTTTATCAATATTATTGATCTTTTCAATGAGCCAGATTTGATTCATTTTCTTGATTGGTTTTCTCCTCTCAAATTCATTGGTTTCTGCTCTTATCTTTTATAATTTCCTTAATTCTGTTTGCTTTGGAGTTAATTTATTCTTTTTCTGGTTTTTCAGGTGGAGACTTAAAACACTGATTTGAGACCATTATTTTTTTCAGGAAAGCACTTAATGCTATATATTTCCCACTTATCACTGCTTTAGCTGCATCCCAAAACTTTTGATATGTTGTGCTTTCATCTTTATTCAACTCAGATATTTTCTAATTTTCCTTATGACTTTGAAGTATGGTTTATTTAGAAATGTGTTGTATATTTCTAAAATTTGAGTGTTTTTCTAGATACCTGCCAGTGTTTTTTAAAGTTTAATATCGTATTACTGAAGGACATACTTGTTATGATTTCAGTTCTTTAAAAAGTCTTGAAAATGTGATCTATCTTTGTATACATTCCATGTGCACTTGGAAAGAATGTGTATTCTGCTATTGTTGAGGGATGTATTCTGTAAATGTCAATTAAGTTGGTTCATAGTATTTTTCAGGTCTTCTATATAGGTTATAAGTTTTCTGCCTATTCTATAAATTACTTAGGAGTGTTAAAATCTTCAATCACACATATGGGTTTATCTATTTGTTCTTTCAGTTCTATTGGTTTTTGTCCGATGTCCTTTGAACCTCTGTTGTTACATGTATACATTTCAGCATTTTTGATGTCTTCATCATGAATTTATACCTTTATTAAAATGGAGTGGCACTCTTTATCCCTGTAATATTCTAGTCCCTTTGCAATATATATTATTGCCCCCCCAATAAAACCCCACCTCTTTATATACAAGATCATTGATCCATTTCTAAAATAAAATTTCTATCTCGTCCCATATTAAACATAAGCTTTTGGAGTTTGACAAAATAGAAATTGGCCTATCATTAATTTCAAAGAATTATAATGGTTAACTTTTGTCAGGCACTCGATTGTTTAGAAAGAATAAGTTAAACATTAATGTGTTATTTCAGTCAACTGTGAAATTCTGGGAAGTCTTCCAGTGTTACATAATACAATTCTTGGAATGGCACAAAGATGTTTTTGGATCATCACACAGCAAAGATCACAGTGGATTTAAATCATATGAGTGCCACTCGCTAGTGGTGTGATCTTGGTCAAGTCTTAAAACTGAGCTTGCATTTCCTCTTTGGTTATATAGATATAACAGACTTGCCTTCCAGTGAGGTGATGTAAGCTAAATGAGATGTAAGACGAGTGAGTGCCTGGCACAGAGTAGGTGCTCAGAGAATGCTTGTTTTCCTTCCTACTTCTTTCATAGGCAGTTGCTAGTCCTTTTTCCCCCCTAAGAATGTTCTGTCACCTTTAAGGACTCTGGGAGGCTCTTCCTCAAGGATTTCTCTAGCATCTGCAGCACTTGTGGGCCTTGTAAGTGGAACATCTTGGCCTTAACCTAAAGAGAAGATCAAGAAATATTAAGGAATGTGAAGCAATGGAAAACATACAAAGACACAAAACAGATACAACAGGCAGTTCTAACTAATGGTCAGACCTTTATTATTGTTGTTTTATTGGTGCCCTATTCACTGAACTCCTCACTAGCTCCTGGGAAGAATAAGACTGGCAGAAATCACAGGTGCATCTTTCTAAAACTACTTTTTAATATTTTCTAAACTTTTAAAAATCTTTATGAAATTTTTATTTTAATTTTTATATCACCCAGCATACCAATAATTAAGGATGCACTAAGATGACCATATATACTATCTAAATATGCATGAACATCTTTGAGATTAAGTTCACATCCATGACAAGCCTGAGTCTGCCATTTAGAAGCTATGTGATGTTGGGCAAATTACTTAACTCCTCTGTGCCTTGGTTTCATTTATAAAATGGCAATGACTATAGTGCCTGTCTCATAAAGTAGTTGTGCCAGTTAAATAAATCAATACATGTGAGGTGCTTTGACCAGTGCATTTGAGCAAACACTTTTATTCCTCTTGAGTAAATATGTAGAAGTGCATTTACATGGTCATATAGTAAGCATATGTTTAACTTTATAAAAAACTGCCAGACTGCTTTTCCAAAGTGGCTGAACTATTTTATATTCCCTTAGCAGTGTTTGAGTTCCATTTGCTTCTCATTCTCTCCAGCACTTCTCCAGATGACTTTCTTATGTAGCCATTTTCAGGAATCATTGCTATAATAGGTAACAGATAAATCTGCAACAATACCCTTCAGGGGTCAGAGAGAGGAAGATAACTAGGCTCACCTCATCCCACAAACACAACTATGTAAATATCAAATCATCCTAAATACCCCAGAAATCGACCTGAAGACTGGCAGAACAAACTCCACAACTAGAGAGAGAAAAGGCCACACCAAGGAAGGTAGAAGTGTGGAGATGGGGTTTGGGGGAGAAATGGATCAAGGGTGCTGTATAAGGGAGGTAGGTATGGTCTCAGAGAAAGGTGAGAGAGAGAGAGAGGAACACATGGGTATGTACAAGGAGAATGTCCAAAGCTATTGGCTTGAAAAATGAGAGGAGCTAATTTTTGTGAGCTCTTGCAACCAGCAGGGCTTAAAGCCTAGAGTTTTAAAGATCAGCAGGCTCAGCTGGCACCATTTACCTCCCCCATGCTCAGCACAAACACAAAAACAACTGCGGGAAGCAACTCAGCACAGACACTGGCTGCATGCTTACACCAAGGCCCACCCCCCTGCACTCTGGCAGGACTGCCCTTCTCAGTCAAATTTGCCTTGGTCCCAACATGACAGTCCCGTCCTCCAGAAGGCCAGCACAAACCCCTGCCCACACTACATCTCCTGACCAGAGAGTTCTGCAGGGTCTCAGTTCTGGAGTAGGTGTCAGGTCTCATTTCACAAGCAGACCAGAGCACACCTATTTAAAACTCACCACATTCAGGCTGGGGACCAAACAATACCCACTGCATGCAAGGACTCTCTGCAGATGACTGGCCTGAAGCATAGAGCAGCTAAAACAACAGCAGAACACATGCAGCACACTAGAAGTCAACCACAAGAAAAAAAGACCACAAATACATGGAGGCTAAACAACATGCTACTAAACAATGAATGGATCAACCAGGAAATCAAATAAGAAATTTTAAAAATACATGGAAAAAATATAAATGAAAATACAGTAGTCCAGGAGAAGAGGCAAGATGGTGGAGGAGTAGAGGACCCTGTTTCAACCAGTCCCCTGAATTTAGCTGGATGTCTACCAAACCATTCTGAACACCCATGAAATCAGCCTGAGATGTAAGAATATATACTTGGATCTTTGCAAGCAGAAAGGCCTCCCTGGTGGAGAGGTATGAAGGGTGGAGTGTGAATCTGTGGGCAGATATCAGAAGATAAACAGAAGGGGAGGAAGCTTCCATAAGCTGATGCATGGAAAGTGATATAACACTGGAGCGCAAAAGCATACCACATTGGGGACCAGGCACAAACTTGCAGAGCGGTAACGGCTGGGAAGGGCTGTACAGCAGCCCCCAGACAGGATCCAGGAGTTGCGGGTGCATCCACGCAAACCAGGGGCAGCTCATGGTTTTAGAAGCACAAAGGGCAGAGACATGCCCTGGCCCTGGGATCGACCTCTGGGAGAGTTGCTGTGGGCGCACACCATCCCGGGAGGCTGTGGTTTTTAGCAGGGCAGACAGAAACGGAGACTGTGTGTCTTGGAGGGCTCAGTGAAGAGCAGACTACGATTTCTCTGCCCTGGGACAGAGGTTTGGGTGCGGCCATTTTTGCTCTGACTCTCAGCCGCCAGAGAACAAAAGCTCAAAAAATCAGTTTTCACTGAGCCCATCCCCCCCAACAGGGGGCAGGGCAACTCTGCCCAAACAGAGTTGCCTGAGTAACAGTGCAGCAGGCCCCTCCCCCAGAACGCAGGCTGGAGGAACAAGAGGATGACAACCCTAAGGTCCCTATAAAACGGGTGCATCTTGCTTGGGTTGTGGTTAATACTTTGGACTCTGTACATTCCCTCAACCACCTTTCAACAGAATGACTAAGAGGAGGAACCCCCAACAAAGAAAAGAACCAGAGACTATGGCCTCTGCCACAGACCTAATGGCTATGGATATAAGCAAGATGTCAGAGATAGACTTCAGAGTAGCAATTATGAAGTCGATATCTAGGTTTGAGAAAAATATTAGCAACAATATAGAATCTCTAAGGGCAGAAATGATATCTAATCAGGACAAACTTAAAAATGCTATGAATTAAATGCAATCCAAACTGGATACCCTGACAGCCAGGGTAAATGAGGCAGAAGAACAAATTAGTGAGCTAGAAGATAAGATGATAGAAAGGAAGGAAGCCGAGGAGGCCTGGGATAAACAGCTAGAAACCCATGAGAACAGACTTAGATCAGTGATGCCATGAAACGTTCCAATGTCAGAATTATTGGGATCCCTGAGGGGGTGGAGAGACATAGAGGAAGAGAAGGTATATTTGAGCAAATCATAGCTGAGAACTTCCCTAATCTGGGGAATGAAACAAGCATTCATGTCCAAGAGGCAGAGAGGATCCCTCCCAAGATCAATAAGAACGGACCATCACCCTGGCATATAATAGTAAAACTTGCTAATCTAAGAACCAAGGAAGCTATCTTGAGAGCAGCTAGGGGGAAGAGATCTCTTACGTATGGAGGGAGGAACATCAGAATAACATCAGACCTGTCCACAGAGATCTGGCAAGCCAGAAAGGGCTGGCAAGACATATTCAGGTACTAAATGAGAAGAACATGCAGCCAAGGATACTTTATCCAGCAAGGCTGTTGTTCAGAATGGATAGAGAGACAAAGAACTTCCTGGACTGGCAGAAACTGAAAGAATATGTGACCACCAAGCCGGCCCTGCAAGAAATATTAAAGGGGATTCTATAAAAGAAGAAAGACCCCAAGAGTAATATAGACCAGAAATTTACAGAGACAATCCATAGAAACAGGGACTTCACAGGCAATATGGTGGCACTAAAATCATATCTTTCAATAGTCACTCTCAATGTGAATGGCCAAAATGCTCCCATGAAACAGCACGGGGTTGCAGATTGGATAAAAAGACATGACCCATCCATATGCTGTCTACAAGAGACTCATTTTGAACCTAAAGATACCTCCAGATTGAAAGTGAGGGGATAGAGAACCATTTATCATGCCAACGGACTTCAAAAGAAAGCTGGGGTAGCAATTCTCATCAGATAAATTAGATTTTAAGCTAAAGACTGTAGTAAGAGATGTAGAGGGACACTATATCATACTTAAAGGGTCTATCCAACATGAAGATCTAACAATTGTAAATATCTATGCCCCCAACATGGGAGCAGCCATCTACATAAGCCAACTGTTAACCAAAATAAAGAATCATATTGATAATAATACTTTAATAGTAGGAGACCTCAACACTCCACTCTCAGCAATGGACAGATCATCTAAGCAGAAGATCAACAAAGAAACAAGAGCTTTGTATGACATATTGGACCAGATGGACTTCATAGATATATACAGAACATTCCACCCTAAAACAATGGAATACTCATTTTTCTTGAATGCACATGGAACTTTCTCCAGAATAGACCACATACTGGTTCACAAATCAGGTCTCAACCAATACCAAAAGATTGAGAGTATTCCCTGCATATTTTCAGGCCACAATGCTTTGAAACTGGAACTCAATCACAAGAAAAGATTTGGAAGAAATTCAAACACTTGGAAGTTAAAGAGCATCCTGCTCAAGAATGTTTGTGTCAACCAGGAAATTAAAGAAGAACTTAAACAAGTCATGGAAACCAAAGAGAATGAAAACACATTGGTCCAAAACCTATGGGATACCGCAAAGATGGTCCTAAGAAGGAAATACAAGCCTCACTCAAAAAAGTAGAAAAATCCTGAATGCACAAGCTAAACTTACACCTAAAAGAGTTGGAGAAAGAACAGCAAATAAAACTTAAACCAAGCAGGAGAAGAGAAATACTAATGATTAGAGCAGAAAGCAATGAAATAGAAATCAGAAAAACAGTAGAACAGATCAATGAAACTAGAAGCTAGTTCTTTGAAACAATAAGATCGATAAACCTCTGGCCAGCCTTATCCAAAAGAAAAGGTAAAGGACCCAAATTAATAAAATCATGAATAAAAGGGGAGAGATCACAACTAACACCAAGGAAATAGAAACAATTATTAGAAATTACTATCAGCAATATATGCCTGGAACAAATTAAGCAGCCTGGAAGAAATGGATGCCTTCCTGGAAACTTATAAACTACCAAGACTAAAACAGGAAGGAATAGACAATCTGAATAGACCAATAACCAGTAACAAAATTGAAGCAGTAATCAAAAACCGCCCAAAAAACAAGAGTCCAGACCAGATGGCTTCCCAGGGGAATTCTCTCAAACATTTTAAGAAGAAATAATACCTAGTCTTCTGAAGCTGTTTCAAAAAATAGAAACAGAAGGGAAACTTCCAAACTCTTTCTATGAGGCCAGCATTACCCTGATCCCAAAACCAGGCAAAGACCCCATCAAAAAGGAGAATTATAGACCAATATCCCTGATGAACATGGATGCCAAAATACTCAACAAGATCCTAGACAGTAGGATCCAACAGTACATTAAAAGGATTATCCCTCAAGACCAGGTGGGATTTATTCCTGGGATGCAAGGGTGGTTCAACATTCACAAATCAATCAACGTGATAGAGCACATTAATAAATGAAAAGACAAGAACCATATGGTCTTCTCAATTGATGCAGAAAAAGCATTTGACAAAATACAGCATCCTTTCCTGATTAAAACTCTTCAGGGTGTAGAGATAGAGGGTGCATTCCTCAATTTCATAAAAACCATCTACGAAAAGCCCACAGCAAATATCATTCTTAATGGGGAAAAGCTGAGAGCTTTTCCCTTAAGATCAGAAACATGACAGGGATGCCCACTCTTGCCACTATTGTTCAACATAGTATTAGAAGTCCTAGCATCAGCAATCAGACAACAAAAAGAAATAAAAGACATTCAGATTGACAAAGAAGTCAAACTCTCTCTCTTTGCAGATGACATGATACTTTATGTGGAGAACCCAAAAGACTCCACCCCCAAATTACTAGAACTCATCCAGCAATTCACTAATGTGGCAGGATACAAATCAATGCACAGAAATCAGTTGCTTTTCTATACACTAACATTATACCTGTAGAAAGAGAAATTAGGGAATCGATTCCATTTACAATAGCCCAAAAACCATAAGATACTTAAGAATAAACCTAATCAAAGAGGTAAAGGATCTATACTCTAGAAACTACAGAACACTTATGAAGGAAATTGAAGAGGACACAAAAAGATGGAAAAACATTCCATGCTCGGGGATCGGAAAAATAAACATTGTTAAAATGTCTATGCTTCCCAGAACAATCTACACTTTCCTTGCCATCCCTGTTAAAATACCATTGGCATTTTTCAAAGAGCTGGAACAAACAATCCTAAAATTTGTATGGAACCAGAAAAGATCCCAAATTGCCAAAGGAATGTTGAAAAAGAAAAACAAAGCTGGGGACATCACATTGCCTGACTTCATGCTATATTACAAAGCTGTGATTACCAAGACAGGATGGTATTCGCACAAAAACAGACACATAGATCAGTGGTACAGAATAGAGTCTCCAGAAATGGACCTTCAACTCTATGGTCAACTAATCTTCCACAAATCAGGAAAGAATATCCAATAGAAAAAAGACAATCTCTTCAATAAATGGTGCTGGGAAAATTGGACAGCTATATACAGAAGAATGAAACTGGACCATTCTCTTACACCCTACACAAAGATATAAATCCATCAAAATGGATGAAAGACCTCAGTGTGAGACAGGAATCTATCAAAATCCTAGAGGAGAACATAGGCAGTAACCTCTTTGACATCAGCCACAGCAACTTCTTTCATGATAAGTCTCCAAAGGCAAGGGAAACAAAAGCAAAAATGAACTTTTGGGACTTCATCAAGATAAAAAGCTCCTGCACAGCAAAGGAAACAGTCAACAAAACAAAGAGACAACCCACGGAATTGGAGAAGATATTTGCAAATAACATTACAGATAAAGGGCTGGTATCCAAAATCTATAAAGTACTTCTCAAACTCAACATCTGAAACACAAATAATCCAGTTAAAAATGGGCAGAAGACATGAACAGACACTTCTCCAAAAAAGACATACAAATGGCTAACAGACACATGAAAAAATGTTCATCATCATTAGCCATCAGGGAAATTCAAATCAAAACCACATTGAGATACCTTCTTACACCAGTGAGAATGGCAAAAGTTGACAAGACAAGAAACAACAAATGTTGGAGAGGTTGTGGAGAAAGGGGAACCCTCCTACACTGTTGGTGGGAATGCAAGTTGGTACAGCCACTTTGGAAAACAGTGTGGAGGTTCCTCAAAAAATTAAAAATAGAGCTACCCTACAACCCAGCAATTGCACTCCTGGGCATTTACCCCAAAGATATAGATGTCGTGAAAAGAAGGGGCACCTGCACCCCAATGTTCATAGCAGCAATGTCCACAATAGCCAAACTGTGGAAGGAGCCAAGATGCCCTTCAACAGACAAATGGCTAAAGAAGATGTGGTTCATATATACAATGAAATATTACTTAGCCATCAGAAAGGATGACTACACACCATTTGCATCGACATGGATGGAACTCGAGGAGATTATGCTAAGTGAAATAAGTCATGCAGAGAAAGAGAAGTATCATATGGTTTCACTCATAATTGGAACATAAGGAATAGCATGGAGGACATTAGGGGAAGGAAGGGAAAACTGAAGGGGAGGAAATCAGAGGGAGAGATGAACCATGAGAGATTATGGACCCTGGGAAACAATCTGAGGGTTTCAAATGGGGGGGAGTGGTCCGGGGGATGGGGTAGCTGGGTGATGGGTATTAAGAAGGGCATGTGTTGTAATGAGCTCTGGGTTTTATACGGAACTAATGAAGCATTGAACACTACATCAAAAACTAATGATGTACTGTATGGTGACTAACATAACATAATAAAAAATAGCCTAGAGATAAGGAAAATAAATTATTTATTTTAGTAAAAAAAAAAAAAGTAGTCCAAAACCTTTGGGATGTAGCAAAACAATCCTAAGAGGGAAGAATATAGCAATACAGGCCTATCTCAAAAGCAAGAAAAATCTCAAATAAACAACCTAACTTTACATCTAAGGAGCTAGAAAAAGAATAGCAAAGCCTAAAGCCAGCAGAAGGAAGGAAATAATAAAAACTAGGGCAGAAATAAATGATATAAAAACTAAAAAAACAGTAGAACAGATCACTGAAGCCAGGAGCTGGTTCTTTGAAAAAATTTATAATTTCCTTCATACATTAAACTATTAATAAGCATAAAAAAGAAAAAATTAATAAAATTGATAAACCCCTTGCCAGACTTGTCAAAAAGAAAAGAGAAATGACCCAAATAAATAATATCATAAATGAGAGAGGAGGGATAACAACCAACACCACCGAAATACCAACAATTGTAAGAGAATCTTATGAAAAACTATATGCTAATAAATCGGACAACCTAGAAGAAATGGATAAATTCCTACAAACATATAAACTACCAAATTTGAAACAGGAAGAAATAGAAAACCTGAGCAGACCCATAAGCAGCAAAGAAATTGAATCAGTAATAAACTCCCAGCAAACAAAAGTCCAGAATCCAATGGCTTCACAGGTGAATTCTACCAAATATTTAAAGAGTTGATACTTATTCTTCTCAAACTATTCCAAAAAATAGAAAAGAAAACTTCCAAGTTCATTCTATGAGGCCAGCATTACCCTGATACCAAATCCAGATAAAGATGACAATAAGTAAGAGATCTCCAGGCCAATATACCTGATGAACATGGATGCAAAAATTCTCAATAAAATACTAGCAAACTGAATCCAACGACATTTAAAAAATCATTCACCACAATCGAGTGGAATTTATTCCTGGGATGCAAGAATGGTTTAAACAAATCAATCAGTGTGATACACCACATTAATAAAAGAAAGGATAAGAACTGTATGGTCCAATAGGTGCAGAAAAAGCATTTGACAAAGTACAACATCCATTCATGATTTTAAAAAAACCCCACAAGAAAGTAGGGTTAGAGGAAACATATCTCAACATAGTAAAGGCCATATATGGAAAACTCACAGCTAATATCATCCTCAGTGGTGAAAAACTGAGAGCTTTTCCTCTATGGTCAGGAACAAGACAGGGATGTCCACTCTCACCACTGTTATTTAACATATTACTGGATGTCCTAGCCACAGCAATCAGACAACAAAAAGAAATTAAGGCATCCAAATCATCAAGGAAAAATTAAAACTCACTCTTTGCAGATGACATGTTACTATATATAGAAAACCCAAAAGACCACCGAAAACCTTCTAGAACTGATACATGAATTCAGGAAAGTCACAGGATACAAAATCAATGTATAGAAATCTGTTGCATTTCTACACACCAATAATAAAGCAATAGGAAGAGAAATTAAGGAATCCATCTCACTTACAATTGCACCAAAAACAGTAAGATACCTAGGAATAAGCCTAGCCAAAGAGGTGAAAGACCTGTACTCTGAAAATTATAAAATGCTGATGAAAGAAATTGAATGGCACCTGGGTGGCTCAGTCGGTTAAGCGTCTGCCTTTGACTCAGGTCATGATCCCCAGGGTCCTGGAATCCAGCCCCACATCGGGTTCCCTGCTCAGCGTAGAGTCTGCTCCCCACTCTCCCCCTGCCCCTCCCCCCCACTTGTGCTCTCTCTCTCTCAAATAAATAAATAAAATCTTAAAAAAAAAAAAGAAATTGAAGGGGACACAAAAAAATGGAAAAATATTCCTTGCTCATGGATTGGAAGAAGAAATATTGTTAAAATGTTTATACTACCCTAGGTAATCTATACATTTAATGCAATCCCTATCAAAATACCAACAACATTTTTCACAGAGCTAGAATAAACAATTCTAAAATTTGTATGGAACCACAAAAGACCTAGCCAAAGCAACCTTGAAAAAAAAAAGCAAAGTGAGAGGCATCACAATCTCTACTTCAAGTTATGTCACAAAGCTGTAGTGATGAAGACAGTATGGTACTGGCACAAAAGTAGACACACAGATCAATAGAAGACAATAGAAAACCAAGAAATGAACCCACAACTATATGGTCAATTAATCTTTACCAAAACAGGACAGAATATCCAGTGGGGAAAAGACAGTCTCTTCAACAAACAGTGTTGGGAAAACTGGACAGCAACATGCAAAATAATGAAACTGGATCACTTTCTTACATCATACACAAAGATAAATTCAAAGTGGATTAAATACCTAAATGTGAGACTTGAAACCAGAAAAATCCTAGAAGAGAAGACAGGCAGTAGCTTGACATCGGCCATAGCAACTTCTTTCTAGATATGTCCCCAGAGGCAAGAGAAACAAAAGCAAAAATGAACTATTCGGACTTCATAAAAATAAAATGCTTCTGCATGGCAAAGGAAACAATCAACAAAACTAAAAGGCAACCTATGGAATGGGAGAAGGTATTTGCAAATGGCATATCCGATAAAGGGTTAGTATTCAAAATACCAGCTATATACCAAAGAACTTATAAAACTCAACACCTAAAAAATGAATAATCCTATTAGAAATGGGCAGAAGACATGAATAGACATTTTTCTGAAGAAGACATACAGATGGCCAACAGGTACATGAAAAGATGGTCAACATCACTGATTATCAGGGAAATGAATATCAAAACTTCTGTGAGATATCACCTTACACCTGTCAGAATGGCTAAACTCAACAACGCAAGAAACAACAGGTGTTGGTCAGGATGTGAAGAAAGGGGAACACTCTTGCACTGTTGGTGGGATTTCAAACTGGTGAAGCCATTCTGGAAAATGGTATGGTGGTTACTCCAAAAGTTTAAAATAGAATTACCCTACAATTCAGCAATTGAACTACTAGGTGTTTACCCAAAGAATACAAAAATACCAATTGAACTACCAGGTGTTTACCCAAAGAATACAAAAATACTAATTCAAAGGGATACATGTACTCTCAATGTTTATAGCAGCATTATCTACAATAGCCAAATTTTGGAAAGAGCCCAAATGTCTGTCAACTGATGAATGGATAAAGAAGATGTGTGTGTACACACACACACACACACACAATGTAATATTACTCAGCCATCAAAAAGAATGACATCTTGCCATTTGCAATGACATGGATGGAGCTAGAGAGTGTTATGCTAAGGGAAATAAGCCAATCAGAGAAAGACAAATACCATATGATTTCACTCATGAAATTTAAGAAACAAAACAAGCAAAGGGAAAAAAGAGAGAGAGAGAGAGAATCCAAGAAACAGAGTCTTAACTATAGAGAACACATTGATGGTTACCAGAGGGGCGGTGGGTAAGAGGATGGGTGAAATAGGTGATAGGAATTAAGTGGTGCACTTACTATGATGAGCACCAGGTGTTGTATGGAAGTGTTGAATCACTATATTGTACACCTGAAACTAATATTAGACTGTATGTTAACTAACTGTAATTTAAATAAAAACTTCTAAAAAACCACAATACCTTCAAATCATTAAAGCAAGATTTGTAGAGCTAATTCCCAAGGCAGGCCAAAAGACTGAGGTCAAAATGTATTTCAATAAATGCAATTATCTGAGGGACTTACAATGTGGAGTTTTACCCACATTGTAGGAGTGTTATCCTGGAAAATAGCAATGGTTAAAGAAATCCCTCCATCTACTTTGTGTTCCTGGAAGGGCTTATCCAAGGAATCTTTCTTCCTCCTACCTGCCTTAATAAGACTCACTGATGCCCCACTTACTTACCTATGACAAGGCCAGACACCGACCCTCCAAATTCCCAATCTCTGCCTTATATAAATGATTAACTGAGCTGAGTCATCCAATGATATATCAAAACAAACTGCTTGTTAACTAAATGTTGGTTAAATTTCTCTTCTTCCTCTAGACTGAGTCAGCATATAACCCCTTCTTAACAGCCCCTACCAAGAATAGGCTAAACTTGGGTAAAACATTCTCTGAGCTGTATGGGTCCTGCCCCTTCTACATCCCACTTCCCCACACTGGATTTTTCAGCCCTGTTTACTCTTCATAAATGGTCAATTTGACTGTTTATCCTCATTGATCCATCAAAACAGTTGTGTAAACTTTAATTAAGCATCTCCCCTCCACACCGGCCTCTGGACTTTGAGCCACCCTCAGCCTGAGCCATCATTGGCATGCAGAAAAACACTCCATGAACTTTGCTTACTCCTCTCTATAAAAGAATAGCTCTTCTCTGCCTGACCTTTCAGTTGTTCATAGATCATATGGCCTTAGGGTTCTTCCTTTTGAAATTGATCTATTCATCCATTCACTTATTCAGTCACTCAATAAATCTTGATTGAGAACTAACTGTACTGGCTTTGTAAGGCCTCACCCCAGGTAGGCTGAACTACCTTTCCTGGAATTCCCTTCCTTGCCTGGTTCCAGCTACAGTGGGCCACATGAGAGGTTCCTGGGGGAGATTTGGAGGACAGAGTTGAAGCATCAGGCATTTAGTTGCTAACTTCATGACATGAGGCTGTGCCTGGGCTGGCAAGTGCTTCACTGTCCCTTGGGTTTGCCTTCAGCTTCTCTGTCATCTGAGCCAGGGTGTTTAGCCCCCTAATGAAGGAACCTGTCTTCTATAGGACATCCAATCTACCAAGGTCAGAGCCTGCAAGAACTGACAAGATTTCCATCCCTGTGAGCCTCAGCTTTAACATGGTGGGAAATTCTTGGGTAAATTAATGTTTTGATTTTTTCATATGTGCTCCCTTTTCCCCATGTTCTTGTCAGTTATTTGGATTCTTGCCAGTGAAGCAGTCCCTTCACTTAACCTTGAATTCCCTTCATGATTTGAGGGGAGATCTTGACCAGAACCACTAGGGCAATGATTGTATTTTTTTTCTTTTTTTCCCCAGCTTTACTGATATATAATTGAAACTAACATTGTGTAAGTTTAATGTGTGCAATGTGATTATTTGATACACAGATACATTGTGAAATGCTTGGCACAATAATGTTAACACCTCCATCACATCACATAACTACCTCTGTTTTTGTTGTGAGAACATTTAAGATCTATTCTTTTAGCAACTTTCAAGTATTATATTAATTATCATCACCATGCTGTACATTAGATTCCCAGAGCTTATTTATCATAGAACTGGAAGTTTGTACCATTTGACCAACATTTCCCCATTACCTCCAACTCCCAGTTCCTAGCAACCACTATTCTACTCTCTGTTCCTTTCACTTTGGCTTTATTAGATTCTGTACATAAGTGAGATCATATAGTATTTGTCTTTCTCTGACCTATTTCACTTGGCATAATGCCCTCAAGGTCCATCCATGTTGTCACAAATGGCAAGATTTCCTTCTTTCTCATGACTGGATAATATTCCATCATGTATGTATACCACAACATCTGTATCCATTCATCCGTTTGTGGACACTTAGGCTGTTTCCATGTCTTAGTTATTGTCTATAATGCTGCAGTAAACCTGTACAGATATCTCTTGGAGATTATGATTTCATAACCTTTACATATATATATATATATATATATATATATATGTTAGTTAAGTGTCTATTTTTAATTTTTTGAGGAACGCACATACTGTTTTCCATAGTGTTTTTACACCATTTGACACACAGTAAAGAATCAATAAATGTTGGCTGATTGAGTTGATGAAGTATTTATATCAACATAACCATCTATTTAGTCACTCCACTTACCAAGGGTAAAGACTCATTCATTCAACAGGTACCTCTAGAAGACCTACTGTGTGCTGGGCATGGGAACTTGAAAAAGGCCTCAGACCAGAATAGATGCAGCTGTGCCGTAGCTTGGATGGTATCAAGACAGTAGAAGTATAATATTTTGAAGATTAATCTGACATTAGCTAGGAGTATCTCACAAAAAGGTCACATGACAATAAGAAGCCAAGTTGAATTTGATACCAGATTACTGGAGATGTAATATTGAAAACCTTCAGCACATGCATGCACACATATACTAAAAACACAAATATGATGTTTAATAAACACATTTGACTGAAATAGGAGATTCAAGGGAGCTGACACATTTTGGTGGTTGCCTGCTTTGATAATGGACAAAGGCCTACAAAGGACACTTTGAAACCTTTGATGAAACCCTTCCAATATTTGGAATTTATCCAAAGAAAACAATGCAAATGAACAATGCTCTATGAACAATTTTGTAAAACAATACTAACTTATGGAGAAGTACTAGACACAATCTCAGACAATTTACATAAATAATGAACTATTATTATTTTACAACTCTAAGGCCCATTAACATGAAAGCTATGATATATATGCTGCTATATGGAGAGTCTTAAGATGAACATAAAAAAAGCAGAAAATGACAATACATAATTTCTAATCAGAAAATAAAATAAGACAAAATCAGAGACGGAGACAAACCAGGAGACACTTAACTATAGGAAACAAACTGAGGGTTGCTGGAGGGGAGGTGGGTGGGGGATGGGGTGACTGGGTGATGGGCATTAAGGAGGGCATGTGATGTAATAAGCACTGGGTATTATATGCAACTGATGAATCACTAAACTCTACCTCTGAAACTAATAGTATACTATATGTTAATTAATTGAATTTAAATAAAAATTTAAAAATATGAAAATATAGAAGGAAACACCAAATAATATTATAAGAGTGTTATAGCTAAGACTTTTTAAAATTACATTTTTTATGGTTTTAAATTTACAATTAATCTCGTCTGTATTGTAGTCCTCTTACTAGAATCTACCTCATCCCTTTGCAGCTTTAAGCAGGGCACTTAATTTCCCTGGTCATCATTTATCCACAGAAAAGTTCTGACTACCTTAGAATGTTACTAGAGGATGAAGTAAGATAATGTTTACATAATATGTCTATAAATTGTGTTATATGTCACCCAAACCAGCATATTCCTTCTAGAGGCTGTTAGATTGTCTCCCCTCTATCAACAGCTGGCTCCCTAATCTCCTCACATTTCTTTTTCAATTCAGAGCAAGAGCCTGGCTTTATACTGTCAAGAATTTCTTGCAGAACTAGGGTATTGCTCTATACACAGTAGGTGCCTGATACAGGTTTCTGAAATGGAAGAGCTTCCTTTTTGCCTGGCATAATTTTCAACCCAAATGGGTTCAGAAATTCTTAGCCACATCCAACAGTAGCATTTTGATTCATTCTACTTCAGTGGAGGAAGCAAAAAGAGATGAGGGGTCCCAGAACAATGATTTTCCTTTGTTCTCACCTGCAAAGCTGTCAATCTTAGTCTCTGCAGCAATCCCCAAGTAAAGATAAGAAGCTGCTGGCTGTTCTAGGACGTGAAATATACCATCTGCACAAACTTCTGGCAGCAGGGTATGAAATTTAGTCCCTCCCTCAGGACCCCATGTTCAGAGAGACAGCTCCAAAATATTGATAGGTTGGCAGAATGACCTCTGAGGCTCAGCTGTTTTCTGGTCTTAAAGGTCCTTCCATTATTCAGCACCTCTGTCTGGACTGTGAAATCAGCTGGCTAAGCACAGAAAGGTAGGTGGACCTCTATAAAATATACCTCTTTTCCTTCCTTCCCCTTTCACAAGCACCAACAAGAAGAGACAGATATTATTAAGATGTGACTTACAGAATCAGAGTTTTTAACTGTAAGTAAAGGAATTACTTATTTGGGGGCCCCTGGGTGGCACAGTTGGTTACACATCCAACTCTTGGTTTTAGCTGAGGTCATGATCTCAGGGTCCTAAAACCGAGCCCCATGTTAGGCTCCACTCTCATTGCAATCTGCTTGAGTTTCTCTCTCCCTCTCCCTCTCCCCCTGCTCCTCTCCCACTGCTCGCATTCCCTCTCTCTCTTAAATGAATAAATCTTTTTAAAAAGCTAATAAGAAAACCAAACTTTAAATGATGGCCACATAATTTAATTCAGTAGAGTATCTCAAAACTCTTGAGAGGGCACCCAGGATCAAAGGCTGAGGGCTTTTGAGAGGTCCTTTGGAAAATTTTGTCAGAGGAAGGGGAGGATACCAGAGAAGACACTTTTCAAATCAGCCTTCTTATTTTCAAGCACAGGAGCATGGAAAAGTAGGATTCTTTCATGAAAGAAGTCTTCAAAGAGGAAAACGTTGCTTTGAAAAGGTTATCCTGGCACTAATGATTGACACTGGATGATTTTAATTCTGAGAGGTCTGTCACCATAAAGGCAAAACATAACACCAAAAGTTCAAGCTTCCATTTTTCTGTAATATGGAGGAGGAAAAAATATTATACAAGGGTGGGTTAAGTAATGCATGGAACCCAAACAATTGGATGTTTTTGTGCTAATATAAATTATAATGCTTGTGTTTGAACTGGTATTTTTTTCACTGACCATAAAAGCTTGAAATGGACAATGGCACTAATCAACAATATTTTCTAGGAGTGCATTTCCACTGATGCCAACCACAAGGAGCAGACTTAAACCCCACACTTCTCAGTGGCTGAAGGTTTTCTTTATCTTTTGACACATGCAAATTAAATGGCATTTTTTTCTGAATAAAATATAAAGTGAGAACCGATTTTCTTCATGTAGCCTTGGTCTCGGTTTGGGGACAGTGTAACCCATTCTCATCTCACAAGACTGTTCCATCACAGTCCAAGAGACAGTGTCCTCCTCTGGACCCAGCACACCAAATTCTGGAAAATTCTGGAGGCAGCATTCAATATATTTCAAGCTCCTCCCATTTTTTCCAAAATTCCACTGCTCATTCACAAGCCCCACGTGGGAGGCATCCAAGAAGATGTTCTGAAAGCTTCCTTTCCTGTCAACAAAAGAATGTGCATTTATTCAGCCAACATTTACAAAATGCCAGGATTGCAGAAAATAAATATGACATCAACCCTTTCTTTGAGGATCCCACAGCCTAGAAGAAGAAACAGATGGACAAAAAACTACTACTAATTCTTTGTCTGCTTCAAAATGTTCCCAAATAATTAAGAGGGATATAACCCTATGTGCTTTATGATACATTTCATAGCAGAGTGTGGACTTTATGCCTTGGACTGAAAGTTTAAAACAAGGGAGTGGTATGATCATACTTGTGTCAGATAAATGACTCTGATCACCATGTGTAGGTGAGTTAGTGATACTGAAGAAAAGCAGATATTGCAATAGCCTGGAGCAGATAAGGAAATCCGCTAGAGATAGCAGTAGAGTTGATTTGAACAGGATTTAAGAGGCCAAAGGAGGAGGAGGAGGAGAAAGAGGAAGAAGAAGGAGAAAAGTAGGTGTCTGATATGGGTATTAAGATCATCCTTGCAGGGGGGATCTGATTTTAGATTTGTATTTCCATCTGCCCAGAAAGGTTCTGAACCCTGAATCTATACTCCCACACTTTACTCCTGTCTCCCAGATTTCTCCCTACTGTCTCACCTTCAAGGACTCAGGGATGCTCTTTTCCAGGGATTCATACATAATCTGCAGCTTCTGGGGTTCTTGAAGTACAAACATCTTGTATAGCACCTCAGCCGCCTTTTCTCAGGAAGATGACCTAAGGAAACAACATACAAAGATACCTGGAAGGATGAGACAGGTGTCCGGGAAAAGGAGGAAGGAGAAATCACCTAGGACATCATACATTGCCAGACATAATGGGTTTTAGAAATTATCAAGCCCAAACCTTTCCCTTAGTAAATGAGAAACTAAAGCCCAGAGCTGCAGCTAGACATCAGGGCTCCTTTCTACAGGATCTTTCTACAATTCCACAGAAAGTACCATAACACATCTGGTGAAATGAATCTCCCCGTGCTCATTGATTCAAATCAGGCCAAGACTCTGAGCAGCAAATGTCATCCGCTGTCCAGATGCAAATGAAGAACAATGAATCTTTCAGAAAAACTGTCCCAGGGGACCCTGAGGTCCCTGGGCATGAAACACTTGCTCTAATGTTGCCATAGGATTAGTATTTTCAGGCATCATGAAAGAATGCAATCTTCTGGAAAAGATCATAAAGACCATATTACATGTAGTTGCTTTTTCCTGAGGAACAAAATCATAGGAAGGAAAAATTATTGATCAGGGATGATATTACCCAAGTATAAGTTGGCAAAATATAGAAACTGGAATTATACCCTAGCAATCTTAAAAATAGAGCAAACCTTTTCATTCAATAATTTCACTTTAGAAACTCATCCCAAGGAAGCAATAATAGATACCTATTATTTATTTGAAGTAAATACAAAGAAGTTCATTGCAGTATTATGATACTGTAAATTTAGAAATGATCCAAAACTGGGGTACGAGGCTGGCTCAGTCAGAAGAGTATGTGACTCTTGATCTCGGAGTTGAGAGTTCGAGTCCCACATTGGGTGGAGAGATTACTTAAATTAATAAAACTTAAAAAAAAATAGAAATGATCCAAAATCCATTATAGAGGAATGCTTAAATTAATAGTGGCATATCCGAATTATGGATTAGTGGGTAGCCATGAAAATGATGTCTTCAAAGTGTGTTTATTTTTTATTTTTATTTATTTTAAGATTTTATTTATTTATTTGACAGAGACACAGCGAGAGAGGGAACACAAGCAGGAGGAGTGGGAGAGGGAGAAGCAGGCTCCCCCCTGAGGGCAGCCCCAATGTGGGGTTCAATCCCAGGACCCTGGGATCATGACCTGAGCCGAAGGCAGACGCTTAACCGACTGAGCCACTCAGGCGCCCTTGTTTTTGAATAGTATTAAGATTCTTCTACATCTTTCTTCCATATGGTTAGCCAATGATGCCAGTACTATTTATTAAATAAATCACCCCACCAAAGCTTAAATACCTCTTTTGTCATATAATACATATATGTATTTGTATCTATTCCTGTATTGGATTTTAGTCTTATGCTGTTTCAGTGGCTTTATGGTAACTTTTAACATCTCTTTTCCTATCCTTTTTCTTAATTTTCTTTTTTTCCTTATGGTTTTATATTATATTCGTATGGACTTAAACAGAGTTTTCCAGTTCCCCAACAAGTATTCCAACTACCTACTACAATTGTGATCTGAACTGGATTCACTTGTTAAAAATAATTTTGAGTGGATTGAGATTTACATGTTACTAAATCTTTTCATTTAGAAACATGATATGTATCCCAATTTTCTCAGTTTCTGTTTTACTACCATTTGGTAAAATTATACTGTTTTCCTAGGGTAAGCCAAATGAAATAAAAACCATTCAATTTATTCTTGGCTATTTTATGCTTGTCAGGACTGTCAGTGGAATTAGTTTTCCTTTTCCATTTCTGAGTACTATTACTTTGCTATTGATTTTTTATTTCTGTTCTTAATTTTTTTAAAAGATTATTTATTTATTTATTTGACAGATAGAGACATAGCGATAGAGGGAACACAAGCAGGGGGAGTGGGAGAGGGAGAAGCAGGCTTCCCGCCAAGCAGGGATTTCAATGTGGGGCTTGATCCCAAGACCCTGGGACCATGACCTGAGCCAAAGGCAGACGCTTAACGACTGAACTACCCAGGCTCCCCTCTATTCTTTTGTTGTTGTTGTTGTTGTTGTTATATTTTAATCAGAATCAACATTAAGTGGCATAAAACATCTATCTCTTCGCTCTTCTCAATCTCATGACCTTAAGACTCAAATACAACACAAGCAGTTTTCAGAATTATTTTGGCCGGCCTCCCCAGTCCCAAAGGAGATTAAAAAGTAATAATGTAAAAAAGTTAAGGTCAAGGTGTCTTAATATCACAGCTAATGACTAACCATTTGCTTACTGGTGGCTTCTGCTCCATCCTAAAGCCTGCGCCCCTCTATTCTTAATTTCTAAACATGCCATACAAGAGTCTTTAAGATACTGTTTGTTTATGTGTTTTCCATCAGAGCCTCTTTGACTTTGCCAACACATAATACTATAATATGTACATACAGATGATTTGCTTCTTTTTTCCCCACATAGTATTGGTTTTCTAGTTTCTTGTCCTATTGCATGTGCAGAACCTAGGAAGATAATACCAACTAAGAACAGCAGTATCTCCATCCTTGTCTCATTTCTGACATTAATGAGATGGCTTTAACAATTCACATTTGGAATTATATTTGATCTGTCTTTACATGTTGAGAGTATTTTCCCACGATGCCTATTTTCTCACAATTTATATTTGGAATAGTGACTGAAATTTATAGGTTTCTTTTGTATTTGTTTCTTCCTTTTCTTTTATTTTTGGCAGTTGATTACACTCACACAGTTTTTCATCCTTTAACACTTCATCCTTACACTGAAAGATCTTCTGAGTCTAAGCCATTCTTGCCTTTCTAAAATAAACTCTATTTGTTCACATCTACTATTCATTTGATATAATACTGGATATTTTATTCAGAATGCTTGCACCTGTATTCATACGCAAAAGCGTTGAATAAATACCTTTTATACCTCTTTTGACCAATTTCAGATTGGGGGTCTTTCTAGCTGTTACCATGGCTTGATACTGAAATTGTGTGTTAATTCTTGCCTTATGTAGAACTTAAATATAAAATTATCTGATTTTGGCCACCTGATAGTGGATAGACATTTCATTTCCAATTGTTTCTATTAGTATATTGAGGTGTTTTATTTCTTTGAAGATCAATTTTGAAAATGGATGGAAATCATCCATTTCTTTTATCAGTAAACGTGTTGCCTCGGAGTCACATCTAACCTTCCATTGTAATTCCCTTGTTCCCATCGCTGTCTCCTTCCTCATCTCTAGTACTGTCTGATTTTTGGTTTTCTTTCTCTTGTTTTTCCTTAAAAAGTCTCACCAGGAGTTTATCTTGACTTTTTTTTTGACATTTAAATGGAGTTTATGGTTTTGTCTGCTTTTTGTACTATGTCTCATTCTCCATTTCATTATTTTCAACTATTGTTCTTACTGACTGCTCCCTTTGCTTTCTTTTGGTCACTTTGATATTCTCTTTACAATTCCTTGAATACTTTGTCTATCCCAGTCATTCTTTTGAAATGAGGCTTCTTAATACATCTACTATTGTGAATTCATCAAGGTTTGGTTTTGGCCACATTCAGGAACCTGCGTTTACTTTTACAAGCACCCTCCAATTCTTGAAGGATTCTTTAAAATTAGTTATATTACTTTATGTTTTAGTTTTCAGCAATATAATTTTCCACATAATATATTCACTGCTGAAACTCTCAGACTTCTTGTTGTTATTTACTCTCAGAAACAAATATTGTCTCTCATGGAAGCTGTGGCTTGCCAGAATGGGGTTCCAAGTCTCTTTCTTCCAAGCCCATGAGAATAATATCATAGCAAATTGCCCAGAGTGCCACCAAAACTTCTGATGACCTTATTCCATTTTAGAGGCTTCTGGCTTTGAATAAGGTATTCTGTCCTCATAGGTTAATAGTCTGTTTCTTTGGACAAGGGTAATGTCTTATTCAAGTTTATTTCCACTGGAGCATCTTGCCCATGCTCTAGACAGTGTAGATTCTCAGTACATGAAAGCTGGGAAAAAGAAGTTCAAGGGCATGATCGGACCTTTCACTATCCCATACAGGAGCTGACTGGCCATCCATACACAGGCAGACAATGCACATGCTCCAAAGAGCCTCAACAATTATGGGCAGTTCTAAAAAATTATGGAGTCATTAACCAGAAGATGCTCCAAATCCACGGCAACTAGTCGGAGACAATGAGCAACTGCATTGGTGACCAAAGTGGGTCCCCAACCAACAGTATCAGCATCACCTGGGAGCTTATTAAAAATGCCAATTCTCAGGCTTCCTGAATCAGAAACCATGGGGCCCAGAAGAGGGACAGCAATGCGTGATAGAGTAAGTGCACCAACTGATTCTTCTTTTTCTTCATATTCTTCTATTTATACATTTATTAACGCTTACATCTTAATGAAAGGAAGATGTTTGTTGAAAGATGGTATAAGAACAATGAAGTTTCCACATGGCTTTTCCCTAGTGCTTCTACGTATGAGTTTCAAACACTGATATCTCATGAAAGGAAGATGTTAGTTACAGGATGAATTCAGCACCATGTAGTTTCTTTTTTTTTTTTAAAGATTTTATTTATTTATTTGAGACAGAGAGAATGAGAGAGACAGAGAGCACATGAGAGCGGGGAGGGTCGAGGGAGAAGCAGGCTTCCTGCCGAGCAAGGAGCCCGATGTGGGACTCGATCCCGGGACTCCAGGATCATGACCTGAGCCGAAGGCAGTCGCTTAACCAACTGAGCCACCCAGGCGCCCCAGCACCATGTAGTTTCTAAGAGATAAGCCCATGGCCCTTTCCATATGCTTCTATTTATGCATTTAGTAACAATTACATCTTAATGAAAGGAAGATGTTCGTTGAAAGATGGTATAAGAACAATGAAGTTTCCACATGGCTTTTCCCTAGTGCTTCTACGTATGAGTTTCAAACACTGATATCTCATGAAAAGAAGATGTTAGTTACAGGATGAATTCAGCACCATGTAGTTTCTAAGAGATAAGCCCATGGCCCTTTCCATATGCTTCTACTTATGCATTTAGTAACAATTACA